CGTAGTCCGTCATGTTGATTGCCGCGGCGGTTCCTAGGATCAGGCCGAGAAGAGTAAATGGCGAAAAACTTCATTTTGACTGATCCAAAGCATGTAAAGCTGTAACTCTGTGATCGCGGGGAGTCTACGATCGTCTGGCGAAGCCGTTTTTTTCTTAAAGGCGCGAATCGGGACCGCCAGTGGCCCGAGATCCCTCGTCGAACAAGCCAAGGATTTCCTGTAGTTGCCTCCATATTGGTCATCGCGACCTCAGTCACTAGAGACACTAGCTGTTGGTCAGCATTTGAGGAGGACAGTGGCGAAGTTGTAGGGTCAATGACAAATTGCGCCGGCATTAGCGACGATTGATTCTTGGCTCGTCGCGAGTACATTCTGTCGCGGCTACATTTTGGTGTCGTGAGGACGGCCAAGCTGGAAAGCAGTTTAGCTGTACCCCTATCGACTGCGGCGTCAGTTCCTTGTGTCCTGCCGTTTTAGGGAAACAATCAAGCGCCTTATGTAACGCTGTAAACGTCATATCTCAGCGCCAGAACAGCACCCACTTCTGGCCCACATCGTTGACCGCCGCCTTCGTCCCGACCGCGTCGCAGGAAGTCTCGGACGGCTGGAACCTCTGCCAAGAACGCCTCTGAATAATGAAGACAGCTAAATTGGGTGGAGGAAAGGATTGGTTTCGCGTGAATCGTTGGCAGCTCTATGCTCTGTAGCCCCATCTTTTCCCAGCCGAAGCCCTGGGGCCAACATAAGCCACTCGAACAGACGAAACAGCGTGGTCCGTGACTGAACACACTAGTGGTTCGTAAAGTTTCCTGATTGTTTTCCTAATGGGGAAATCCGGCGCAAGCTAAGGCCGGAAAAACTCGACTAACCCATTCCAGACACGGAAACAACGCCAATCTCAACGACGTGCCTAGGTATTAGGCCCAGAAGCCTGCCCTTTTTCGCCTTGCAAATATCAACAAAGGCCGGTCTGCAGGGTCTCCCGAGGTATCTAACGTCTCAGTCTCGTGTACTGAAAAGTATCTTGCATGAGCTTGATTCGCGCAATCTGGTGTCTTTTCAGCACCGCTTCGAGATCAATTCGTTTTCTTGGCAAGTCACTGCAAGGGACGTGAGAGTCTGGAGTACTTTTCAATACCTAAGTCAATCACACAAAAGCCTCTCGGACGATCAGACGATCAAAGCGCGGGCACTTTCGTTGATCTGAGGAAGCTGCGGCAGAGCACCAACCGTGGTGTTTACCCCTGTGGATCCCGGGGTGGTGATAGCCGAGCGGAGGGCACCGCCGGACGAGAGAAAACATCCGTAAGACATCGGAGAGGCCGAGGGCGCAGCGAATTATACACGTCGTCGAGATGAAGATCAAGCCCCAAACAAGAGCGCAACGAATCTGAATGGAAGTATTGGGGACAGTCGTTCACCACTGCGAGTAGAACAGCAAAAAGATTCGGGAAGCAAAATTTGTGGGCTATCCTATGGCCATTTGTCTTCTGCTGCACTAAAGTATGCAGCAAGGGCCTTTCCGCTAATCATACAAGCCTGAGGAGGATCGTGTCTGCAGGCTTCGACTTCTCCATTCGATCCCGTAGTCCCTTTAGAATGACGTGTTCGAAGACTTTTCTGCCCACTTGTCCAGCAACTCCAACGTGTCGGTGCACTTCTTCCGGATTGTGTCAAGAGCATCGTCGCCCAAAGCCAAGCTGACGGGGAAATCTTCACCGGCCGCATGGACTTTGACCACGTCGAGAATGCGCGCCACACCCTTGGCAGGATCGCCGGGCTGCTGTTGATGGATTCCCTTCACCTGTGGGTACAGGTTGTCGACGAGAGGCTTGTACTCATCGATCTTGGTGTCAATGTAGACTGCCTTCTTCTCATTGAGAAACTCTGTTCGGAAGTATCCGGGCTCGACAAGGAGCGTCCTGATCCCAAGGGGCTTTGTTTCCAGATTTAGACTCTCAACCCGCGGCTACCGAAATAGGTCAGTCATTCCCATTGCTGCGTTGGAGCGTGATAAAGGTGAAACCAACCTCGCAGAGCCGCTTTGGAGCTGCAGTAGGCCCCCAACTGCTGGCAGCCCCTCCCCAGGCCCGCAATCGATCCCCATGAAGACAAAGTTCCCCAGCCTTTCTTCTCCCGAAAGTGTGGCAGGAAAGCTCGTGCGACGCCAAGAGGGCCGAACACGTGAGTTTTGGAATACCTTAGTCCAATTCCTCAAGGCTAATCACAGTTAGACAGATAACTTGTTGGTTGGGGACATGGAGTCATCAAACCTATCGTCCCTCAGTGGTGCTAAAGTGTGGGTACCCGGCATTGTTCACTACAACATCCACACCGCCATGGATGCCAATGGCCTTCTCGGCCACTTGTTCAAAGTCAGACTGACTTGAGGTCAAGTCTAGCTTGAGAACCGATGCTCCCGCCTTTTGAAAATTTTCGATGCTGGTGGGGTTGCGCGCCGTGGCAATAACCTTGTCTCCCGCCGCGAGAAGCGCCTTCACGAACTCGGCACGAAG